TACATTTGTATTCTAATAGTTTAGGCCAGTTATAAACAGAAGTGAGTATTTTACAAAGGGTTTGCTCTTCCAAAAAAGGGCTTGGGCAGGTAACTCCAAAGGAACAACACCGCTCATTTCCTTTACCTAATCCAGTGTTTTAACGTTTGTTATTGCATGTTCTCATTTCTATGGATCTTATGTATTCATGCAGGATTTTGTATTTTGCATTAATTTCTAGTTTGCGATTAATGTCTTCTTCTGTAAAGGTCGGTGTTAGTTGTATAGACGTATTTATTTTTGTTGTATTTGAATGTATAAATCTTGCCATTTATATTTTTATATGTTGTACTTATCTGTGTTTGTGCTCTTTTATTAAACTACAGAGTAGTTTTCTATTGCCTTCATACTGCTTGTATCTTTTTACCTTATGCACTGAAATCTTCCTTTATAGAGTCAAAGTCCATGGTGGTGAAATAACAGAGTTTGAAAAATGTTTTTATTTCCACAAGAGCTGTAACGTCTTTGTATACAGAGTGTCAGACTCCCAAGTCTATAGGATATGAACATAAGTTGCGATTTGTTGGTGCAGTCTGTAATTCTTGTATAAAATTAAACATTAGCCATTTTCAACTGATTTTGAAGAGAGGAAGGTTAAACTAAAATCTCCATTCTAATATTTATCATACACATTGCAAGTATCACCTGTTCTAAACAACAGTATATATAATGAAATATTCATTTGTTTAATTTGCCCAAACAGATACTCAGAAGACAGCTCGTGGTTTTCTTACAGTGAAAGCTTATCGCTTGACTCCACAAGCGATACAGATGTATAAGGACAATGAATTCACTCCAGAAGCCCTAAGGAACCTAAAGATTGGCTATGAAAGTTTGTTCTTGGAAGTCCCCATTGTTATCAAGAATTCTCATCTGACAAACATTATGTTGTCTGAGCTAGCAGACATGATTCCAGAGGAAGATGGCAGTAAATTCCTTGACTTAGGGACAGCGTAAGTTGCAGTAGTTACTACGAGGCGCGTCCTCAAAGTAAGTTTCCCACTCGTCCCACAGCTAGCAAACCTTATATTGCGCGAAGCGACTGTGCGTACGTGATAGAGCAATGACGTAGCATGGCGCATGCACTAACGGCACCTCCCGCGTTCTCACAGTAGCATCGTTGCAGCTGTTGAAGATGGAGGTTCTTATTCCAGCTCCCGCCGACTGTGAAGTGCGGTCAGTGATAACGCTAGGCCGCACACGGCTCGACGGACAGCGAGTCTCCTGCAGGAGTTCAGCTGGGAGGTGTTTGATCATTCACCCTACAGCCCGGACCTCGTTCCCAGTGATTTCCATCTTTTCCTACACCTCAAGAAATTCCTGTCCGGTCAGCGTCAGCGTTTTGAGAATGACAGAGAGGCGGAGATGGTTGTCACACAGTGGTTCCAATCCCAGGCGGGCGACTTCTACGACACAGGTATTCAAAAGTTGGTCCCCCGGTATGACCAATGTCTCAATTCCGGTGGCGAATATGTTGAAAAATAGCTGGACACTTGCTGTATCTGTTGCAATAAATATTTCCATGAAATTGTGTTTTGTTTCTGTAAACGGCCCCAGGGAAACTTACTTTGAGGACGCGCCTCGTACATTGCATCTCCGAGAGTTTACTTTGGAGCTGTAGGCACAAATGAGAGGGTAATATTGAAGTGGGCCTTAATTCAGGTATAAGAGAGTGGACTAGATCCAACTGGCAGGCTCTTGTGAACAAGGTAACATTATATTATTTGTTGAATATGGCTGTCTTCTAGGGTGTTGTGCCACATGGTCAGGTAGAAGTTTACCAGCATTTTAGGGGTACTCGTTTCCTCCATCATTAGGAGGGAGGGTGGGTGGAGGCATATGGTATTTGGATACATACAGTATACTGTATTGTTGTTTAGATCTGTGCTGGAAGGCCAGCTTCGCTGTCTGATGGACCGAGTGGATGAACTGAACCAGGAAGCTATCAAGTTCAATCGTTACCAGCAACAAGTGATCCGTCAGCAACAGGACAAGCATCGCTTTTTGCAGAAAAGGGTAAGATTATATGCTGTGACGTGTTGAGATGAGAGCAGCACAACAATGTCAATAAACAGTTTAGTTGTCTGTTTATTGACATTGTTGTATCATTTATAATTGTTGTTTGTTTATAGATATTGTTGCGTTTGGCATTGTTGTATTCGTTTATAATTGTTGTCTGTTTAATGACATTGTTGCGTTTGTTTATTGTTGTGTTCGTTTAACCCGTTGACGTGGTGATTTAACCTCTCGACGTGTTTTTACGTGTATATACGCGGGCATTTAAATTTGAGTGCTTGTGGTTTTACGTGCATATACGCAAGGCTGTTAGCTTAATTTATAATGCCCATAAGTATGGAATAAATAACGCCAGCGCAATGAGGTTTTTACTCGCCTGTTGTGGAAATAAAGCTCTATGTGTATACATATGGCAACAGTGTTACATTCCACAGACCTGCACCGGAGAGTCTAAAAATAAACGCCTGACCTGGTAGTTTATAATGGCTGTCCCTTCGACAAGTCGTCCTCTGACGGAGCTAGACCAAATACAAGTTTTAAATGAAGTTTTAGAAGATGAGAGTATAAGTGTGGGAAAATATAGACTCATTTCCTGCTTCACGAGAAGCATTTTTTAATATATGTGGTCCCCAGTTCGACACTGCTGAACTAGATGTCGTGAGTTCATTCGAAAATATTTTCGATATAGCTCTAGTACAGCTCATTGTTGAAGAAACCAACAGGTATGCTCAGCAGGAGATTTCTAAAAGTGCCCATCCTCTCACATTTCGCTCTAGGATTAGGAAGTGGCAAGATGTTACAGTGGACGAAATTTACGTGGTTTTGGCTCTATTTATGTTGATGGGCATTGTGCAGAAGCCTACACTTAGATCTTACTATTCAAAGAACCGGCTGCAGTACACTCCGTTCTTTTCTGAAACTTTACCTCTGGAAAGACTAGAGCTAATTACCAAATTTATGCATTTTGCAGATAACAGTAAGCAAAATGAATATCACGGACCTCCCAAACTTTTCAAAATTTATCCAGTCATTCAGCACCTAAATAACAAGTTTCAAAATTTGTATCTTCCATCCCAGAACATTGCGATAGACGAGTCCTTGACTCTATGGAAAGGTCGTTTGTCCTTCAGACAATACATACCCCTCAAGGCTGCTAAATTTGGCATAAAAACGTATGAACTCTGCGAGTCTAGTTCTGGCTATGTTTGGTCTTTTCTCGTGTATACTGGAAAAGGCATGGAACTGTCGAATCGGTTTGTGACTGCAGAAACAAATAAAACTGCAGCAATTGTAGTCACACTGTTAGAACCTCTTCTCACACACAGGGTGCTCATCTTATAAGGTAAGATTATAAAACCATCTTTTAAGAGGGTTTCAGTGAAAAATTCATAATTATATCTCATATAGTTCAAAAGTTATAAAAAAAAGTATTTTGCAGCAAAATTTAAACAGGCATTTAAAAAATACTACCGCCGGAACAGCACAACAGCGGTATATGCGGGGTATTTAACCCATCGACGTAGTGATTTAAATACCCCACATATACTGCTGTTGTGCTGTTCCGGCGGTAGTATTTTTTAAATGCCCGTTTAAATTTTGCTGTAAAATACTTTATTTTTCATAACTTTTGAACTATATGAGATATAATTATGAATTTTTCACTGAAATCCTCTTAAAAGATGGTTTTATAATCTTACCTTATAAGATGAGCACCCTGTTTGTGAGCAATGGAAGCAGGTGGATTAGAAGTTCAGTTTCGTATGATAGTTTTTAAAACATCCATCTATACACAACCTTGCCTCACATTCACTACACCAATAAATGGATTCTTTCCTTATCCCGTGTTTCGTACACACGACACATCTTTTTTGAGGTTTTGCCTTCTTTCCTGTTGGTGGAATACGCCCCGGGAAATGTCGTTCTGAGAGTCTTTTGGGTGGGGGCTCAACTGACGGATGGCCGTGTACAGGACGCGGAACACCAGGACCGTGTTTTTCCACTAGTCCTTGTGCTAATGAAATTCTGAATTTCAGGGTATCTATGTTTTTGTTATTTGGGAGGAAGCGGTACATGATCATCGCATTATGTATTGCAACATTAAGTAATCGTTTGAATAATTTCATGTACCACTTTGTTCCTTTCTTTCGTTCCAGCAGGTATGGCTGTAACATTTGATCCTTCAGATCAACTCCCAGGATGTTTTTGTTGTAATCACAAACAACCAGAGGCTTTGTTTGTTCTTGCTTTGCTTTGTTTATAGTCACACACATATCATCCTTGTGGTATGTTGATAACATGGTGACTCGCTTCCTGTCTTGCCACGTGAGAACTGCCACATCGCCAGAGTGTAGACCACAGTGCTCGCCTTTGTTCAATTTCTTGTTCTTCACTTCAGGAGGGACATTTTTTCTGTTGGCATGTAAAGTTGCAACGCAGTCTGTTTTCTTGGAATTCATAAAACGTGCCAAATCTGGTGAATTATAAAAATTGTCCATTCACACTGTGTGTCCACGACCAAGAAGAGGTTCTAACAGTGTGACTACAATTGCTGCAGTTTTGTTTGTTTCTGCAGTCACAAACCGATTCGACAGTTCCATGCCTTTTCCAGTATACACGAGAAAAGACCAAACATAGCCAGAACTAGACTCGCAGAGTTCATACGTTTTTATGCCAAATTTAGCAGCCTTGAGGGGTATGTATTGTCTGAAGGACAAACGACCTTTCCATAGAGTCAAGGACTCGTCTATCGCAATGTTCTGGGATGGAAGATACAAATTTTGAAACTTGTTATTTAGGTGCTGAATGACTGGATAAATTTTGAAAAGTTTGGGAGGTCCGTGATATTCATTTTGCTTACTGTTATCTGCAAAATGCATAAATTTGGTAATTAGCTCTAGTCTTTCCAGAGGTAAAGTTTCAGAAAAGAACGGAGTGTACTGCAGCCGGTTCTTTGAATAGTAAGATCTAAGTGTAGGCTTCTGCACAATGCCCATCAACATAAATAGAGCCAAAACCACGTAAATTTCGTCCACTGTAACATCTTGCCACTTCCTAATCCTAGAGCGAAATGTGAGAGGATGGGCACTTTTAGAAATCTCCTGCTGAGCATACCTGTTGGTTTCTTCAACAATGAGCTGTACTAGAGCTATATCGAAAATATTTTCGAATGAACTCACGACATCTAGTTCAGCAGTGTCGAACTGGGGACCACATATATTAAAAAATGCTTCTCGTGAAGCAGGAAATGAGTCTATATTTTCCCA